TTGGCCATTAATATGATCTCTTTCAGTTCACAGCATTGTTCACTTTCTGCCATCTTCTCCACTGACTGAAGCTTGTTCTCAATATCTTTAATGTTTTTCTCCATGTCCTCCATTTGCTGTTTGAGTTGATCTTCTTGGTTTTGCAGTTCCTTCCTTTGTTCCGTCAGTGTTTTAACCACCTTTTCACAGACTTTCTGTTCTTCCTCTTTCTTCTGTTCTTCTGCCATGAGCCGTTCTCCCTCTCTGTTTCCAGTTTCAGTCTCATGGAGCAGCTTTGTGTCTGTGTGAATATAACAACAGGGAGGAGTGTTGAATGAATGAAAACTTGTTCTCTTTATGCAATGTGAACGTCAGTGAAGGTCCAAATTTCCCAACATTGTCCAACATTCAAGTTAATTCAAATAAGAGAGAATAAAACAACATATTCTTTTTAAATAAATAAAATCTCTACAGTAATAGCAAAGTTCTATCTTTGTGAAAAACGTTTTTCGTCCTGAACAAATATTCACAATTGTAGCCAGAATTGTTTTCATGCAGGTCCTAAATCAGGCATGGTGTCTTTATGATTAACATGTTGTATATAAAATTAACTTTACCTTCTTCATGCCCTAACATATAACAGACACAGTCCTATATACCAGTTTTAATATCTTTAGGGTGAATCAATCAATCAGCTTTTAAGTCAACACCTGTCTCTGAATACTCACTCACCGCTCCACGAGATCTTCCCATAGTTGTTTTATCAGAAGTTCTCAGTCTTAGTAATGTATTCATCCACGGGAGAGTCTACACATGTTGATACCAATTTCTAAGTATGAAGTATTTCTGTATGCAGCACTTTAATAGATCTGATCTCTTATTTGAACAAAACTCGCTCCCGAGCAGGTTAGGTGCGCGGCGTCAGTTGTCATGGCGATGTATGTTGGTAAGAAGTGAACCACCATTGCAGCACTGATAACCCTGAACTTGCTTTGTTTACCCCAAATGCTAGATTGATTTAGATTAAATCATGATTTATCTGGGAAATACAGCCTTGATTTGCATGAGTTGTTGAAGATGTAGCCACCAGTGACATTGTTCCAATCACAGCCAGTACTAACCTTTTGTTTGGTTTTCTTTCCAAAAAAGAAAGGCTGCTGTGAGAATAAAAACGAGGACAGCAACCACTTTAATGCCGACACGAACAGCAGACGAAAACAGTAACATGAAGCAATCAGCTGGAATGATAGAACACAACAAAATAATAGTTATATAAAACTACAAGCTCAGCTGTTTGAAGCCTGAAAAGGATATTTGGGGGGAATCACCTGAAATCTGAATGTGTGTCTCTCTGATCTGGTTG